CTTTAGTCTGCAGGCCAATGCTCTATCCACTGAGCCAAATCGGCTAGGGCAGCAAACTTTTTAAAAAAGTATGTTTTTAGTGATTTAAGAGAGAGGAAAGGAGAGGGATAGGAACATCAATGATGAGAGAGAATCATTAATCAGCTGCCTCCTGCACGGGGATTGAGCCCACAATCCGGGAATGTGCTCTGACCTGTAATCGAACTACAACTTCCTGGTTCATGAGTCGATGATCAACCACTATGCCACACAGGCCAGGCAAGAACTCTCTTTTATTACTGTTATCTCTTTGATAACACAGATTTGCTGGTAATAAATTCTCTCAGCTTTTGTTTGTCTGAAAAAGTATTTTCCCCCCTTCATTATTATTTTTTAAGCATATTTTTAAATTGATTTCAGAGAAGAAGGGAGAGAGAGCTAGAAACATCAATGATGAGAGAGAATTATTGATTGCCTGCCTCCTGCACATCCCCCACTGGGGACTGAGCCCTCAACTGGGGCATATGCCCTGACCGTCAATTCAACAGTGACCTCCTAGTTCTTAGGCCAAAGCTCAACCACCAGAGCCATGCTGACAGGGCTCCCTCTTCACTATTGAAAGATATTTCTGTTGGGTACAGAATGCTAGATTTTCTTTTACTATTTTAAAGATGTCAATCCATTGTCTTCTGGCTAACATTGGAGAATTCGCTGTAATTCTCATCTTTCTTCTACTATATATAATGTATCTTTTTTCTCTGGCTATCTTTAGGATCTCCTCTGATTTTCAGCAGTTTGAATCTGATGCTATTAGGTGTACTTTATTTTGGTATTTTTTTCTTGTTTGGAATTCTCTGTGATTCTTGGATTTGTTATCTCTTCTCTTTTTGATGATGTCCATTTTCCCCCAGTCTTTGTGTTTTAGTTTGGATCATTTTTTTCTTTTGTTTTTTTTTTTAATTAATCTTTATTATTGAGATTATTGCAGATGTCCCTCTTTTTTCCTCCAATAGCACCCCTCCACTGGTACCCTCCCCACCCCAGGCCCTCACCACTCTATTGTCTGTGTCCATAGGTAATGCATACTAGTACATGCATATAAGATCTTTGTCTATTTCTTCCCACACCCCCAACACTCCCTTCCCTCTGAGAATCATCAGTCTGTTCCATTTCCATGCCCCTGATTCTATTCCATTCACCAGTTTATTCTGTTCATCAGATTTTTTATTCATTTGATTTTTAGATTCACTTGTTGATAGATATGTACTTGTTGTCACTTTGTTGTTCATATTTTTTATCTTTACCTTTTTCTTCTTCTTCCTCTTCTTAAAGAATATCCTTCAGCACCCTATATAATAAAAGCCCAATATGCAAGTTAACTGAACAGTGGAACAACGGCGGTACAACGGGTCGCTATTACGTGCACGCTCAATACAGGGAGCTGCCCCCAGCTTGCAGGCCCCAGGCCAGCCAAGGTGGGTGCCAGCGGGGCCCCCCAATCGCCCTGCCGGTCGCCCCAAAGATCGGCCTTGATTGACAGCCAGGGCTAGGGGCCCTTCCTATGCATGAATTTCGTGCATCAGGCCTCTAGTTTCATATAATACTGGTTTGGTGGTGATGAACTCCTTTAGCTTTTTCTTGTCTGTGAAGCACTTTATCTGACCTTCAATTCTAAATGATAGTTTTGCTGGGTAGAGTGTTTTTGGTTGTAGGTTCTTGCTTTTCATCCCTTTGAATATTTCTTTCCACTTCCTTCTTTCTGCCTGCATAGTTTCTGTTGAGAAATCAGCTGACAGTCATGTGGACACTCGCTTGTAGATAACTAACTGTTTTTTCTCTTGCTGCTTTTAAGATTCTCTCTTTGTCTTTTGCCCTTGGCATTTTAATTATGATGTGTCTTGGTGTGGTCTTCTTTGGATTTCTCTTGTTTGATATTCTCTGTACTTCCTGGACTTGCAAGTCTATTTCTTTCACCAGGTAGGGGAAGTTTTCTGTCATTATTTCTTCAAATAGGTTTTCATTATCTTGCTCTATTCTTCTGGCACCCTCCTAATTCAGATGTTGGTATGTTTGAAGTTGTCCCAGAGGCTCCTTACACTGTCTTCATATTTTTTTTAATTTTTTTTTCTTTTTTCTCTTCTGGTTGGGTGTTTTTTTCTTCCTCATATTTCAAATAACTGATTTGATTCTCAGGACCCTCTAATCAACTGTTGAATCCCTGTATATTATTCTTCAGTCTATAGGCCATCTCTCTATCCACTGAGCCAAACCAGCTAGGGCCCTGTATATTATTCTTTATTTCAGTCAGTGTATGCTTAATTTCTCACTGATCCTTTTCCATTTTTTTGGCATTCTCACTAATATCCTTGGAAGTTTCACTAAATTTCTCTGAGGTTTCTAGAAGATTCTTGAGTAATCTTATAACCATGGTTTTGACTATGGGGCAGGACTTGCTTCAGTGGGGCTTTGGTGCTCACTGAGTCTTCCCCTTGAGTGTGTCACTTATGGATGTGTAGAGTTGTAATCTGGATGGTCTGACACTGACCACTGGTACACTGGCTCTTGGGTCTCCAGGGAGGTGCAAAGTCAGCCATTGCCTGGGGCCACCCACCAGGAGCTACAGAGAGATCTGCAGATTCCTCCTCTTTGTATTGGGTTTGGAAGTGCCCAGACAAGGACCAGCTGTGAAGCAAGGCAGGCTGGTGCTGGTGCTGATTTGGGGGCCTTTTATTTGACAGGTTTGGGGCTCCCTGACCCAGCTGCAGCTTGTTTAACAGAGTTTTAGGCTGAGAATGGACAGACCATTCATATGCAAAAGCTGCTGTGCACAGCTGGGTGGGGTTGTAAATTGGTAGGGCGGGGTCTCAGAGAATCACCAGGGTGGAGCAAACATAAATGGCTGCCAGTCAGCCCTGCACTGGGGAAGTCCCAGCACAGGAACAATGACCTCTGGGAGCACCTCCCTCTGGAAGAATGCCGCCTCTGCATTCCTGACCCAATGCCAGACCATTCAGTTTCTCCCCATAGGAGTCTGGATCCCTCAGAGCCTCAGCTGGCACTGGAGCTCAGAGGAAGTGGGCGCTTGTAAATTCAGTTCATGGTGCCATCCTTTTAAGAGGAGCAGCTAGGTCTCCAGCAACTCAGCCCCAATACACACTGGTTTTTACAGTCCATAGTTCTTATGGCCTGTAGTTCTTTCCCCAGCTCTGGGACCCTGGACTGGGAGTCTGGTGTGGGGCTGGGACTCCCTCCTCCTCCAGGTGGCCTCTGCAGAGGCGATCTCCCTCCCAATTAAAAAAGCGGCACACCTGGGTGCCAGACCAGCCCGTTCCGTGCCTCCACACCTCCTACAAGTCTCAATGAGCTTTCTTCTTTACCTCTCTTAGTTGTAGTACTTCCACTCAGCCAGCTTTCCTGTGGTTATGGATGATAGTTGTTCTGTATTTTAGTTGTAATTTTGATGTGGTTGTGGGAAGCAGTAAGTACAGGCGTTTACCTATGCTGCCATTTGGTTCTCTGCACTTCTTTTAGTTTGGATCATTTTTATTGATCTGTCTTTAAGATCGATATTGACTGATTTTTCCTCAGCTCTGTCAAGTTTACTTACGAGCCTGAAGAAGAAGCTGCTCATTCTAATAACATAACGTTTCTACAGAGCCAAAGCAGCCCTCCCCAGTCTCTCCCCTATTGTTTTCTATCGTAGGCCCTTTGTTGTTTCACTGTCCCAGCTTTAAAACATGTACTCTCAAAATCACCTGGATTCCTCTTGTGAAATCTTTCCTGCACAAAGCCAAGATCCCACACACCACTGGCCAGCCCTAGGCATTCCCGCTCCTGGCTTGGTCCTCTTACTGATAACGGTAAGAGACAAGCAAATAATGTTACCGGAAAAGGACCAGGGTTGAGGCACAGTGTGGAATGTGTAAAACACTTGTTCCTTAGTTAGGAAAGATAAGATCTTGTGACATTATCTGGCTGTAAATTACTCAGCCCTTAACTACCTGTCTCAGTTTCCTCGTGCCAAGGAGTTTTCCTCGCTTCTTTCTGACAGCATCAAGTCTCTAGTTCTAGACCATAAAGTCTTCAGAATTTCTGTTTCCTTCAGTTCTTTCTTCATATCTTATCCACCCCAGTAACTAAAAACTCTTTTTTGTTCATATTGCTTTTAAGTGGTTTGGTCATTGGTCCAGAAAGTATTCTCACTGATTTATACTCTAGGCCAGTGATGGCGAACCTTTTGAGCTCCGCGTGCCAGCATTTTGAAAAACCTTAACTTAACTCTAGTGCCGTGTCACATATAGAATTTTTTTGATATTTGCAACCATAATAAAACAAAGATTTATATTTTTGATATTTATTTTATATATTTAAATGCCATTTAACAAAGAAAAATCAACCAAAAAAATGAGTTCGCCTGTCACCTCTGACACACGTGTCATAGGTTCACCATCACTGATCTAGGCGGCTTTTAAGTCTTGAATTGTAATGAGCACTACAAAGAAACTCAATGTAGATTCATTTTCTCTTTTGTATGTATGCATGTTCTCTTTTCTCATGAAGAAGCATTTCCATAGGAGTTGCTGGGTCAAAGAATATGCAAATTTGAAAAGCTTTTGATGCTCAGTGTGAAATTGCCTTCAGAAAGTTTTGGATCATTTTTATTGACACAATATTGAGTAGTGTTAATTTTTTAAAATTCCCAATTAGATAAGAGGTATTCTGGTTTCCTATGGGTACTGCTCCCATACCTGTGATCCCCAAAACGTCTTAATAGAATAATAAAAAAGGTGAAAAGATCAAATGGGTATGAGAATTTGGAATGAAACCAGAAATAAAGGGCGGAGTCCAACATTTGTTCTGTGAACATCACCACTGTGAATTCTTAGCTCTGGCGTTTCCCAAACAGGTATGGACTGGCTGAGCCAGTATGAACGTTTCAGGGAGAAATTAACTTAAGGAAGTGAATAGAAGCCTTACCTTCGTTTACCACCTTCACCTGAGGCCCCAGTAGGTGATTGGCTGGGGCTTCAATGGTAGCTCCACTCCCAGCCTGGGGAGTTAAAATATATGCTCCGGACGGGGAGCAGACCTCATCTGCGTTACCCACAACAATGTGGGCTCAAGTCCTGCTGGGAATATTGGCTCTATCACCAGCGATTGCAGAACAACTCCTTCCGTAAGTGCTTGAAGTCAGAGCTTCTTTGTCTACCTTTCTCAAACCTAAATATGGGGGGAGGAGATAACCTTTGGTTTATTGTAATTTCTTTCTCATCTTTTCCCTTCTTAGTTGCATTTCTCCTTTACCCAGAGAGAAAAGTTGAGGCCTAAGAGGAAGTTAAAAAATATATGTAATATTAAAATACAGCAGGCTCCCTGTACTCTGTTCCCTGTCATAGAACTAATTTCCTCCTTGGTATACTAAGCATAGTATACCAAGCAGTGATGGTTTCCTGATTGTGGGAGGTTTAAAGGTTGTGCACTGGGTTATTTGTCCTCAAGGTTTATGGAGGCAGGAGCTCAGTCTGTTTAATTCACTGCTATATGCTGAGTGTTTGTGAAAGGGCTTAATTTCCCACTGAATGGATGAATCATGATGTCCTCAAACCCTTTTGCTTCTTTAACAGAAACTACCTGGTGACATTACCAGCCCAACTTCACTTTCCCTCTACTCAGAAGGTTTGTTTGGATCTGAGCCCTGGGTACTATGATGTAAAATTCACGGTTACTCTGGAGACCAAGAACAAGGCCCAGAAGTTGCTAGAACACCGTGGAATGAGGAAGAGGCACTTACACTGCATGTCCTTTTTGGTAAGCACAGAGTTAGCCCCAACTCTAATCCCATACTTGCCTATTCTCCTCCCTAGATACTCACCATAATCTAACTTTATTATCTTACGTTTGTCAAGTCCCTTAAACCAATCTCCCCTAAACCCGACTTCAATTCCTGGCCATCACTCATCCATAATTTCCCTGACCTTGCATTTCTTCCTTTTGTTCCCGACCTTAACCTCCTACTATTGTTCCCCTTTTCCCCTGGCAACCTGTTTTGTGGCTCTACCCTTGCTACTCCCATCTGACTCAGTCCTTTCCTTTTACCCTCCCATTCTTGGGTTTGCAACCAGTAGATTCTGTGCCTCCGTCTCCTCCTCCTCCTCTTCCTCCTCAGAGCTCCCCTCTCTTGGCCAGGTACCGCCTCCTGCAGGTGGAACAGAAGAAGTGGCTACAGTCCGGGTGTCAGGAACTGGAAATAACATCAGCTTTGAGGAAAAGAAAACGGTTTTAATTCAGAGGCAGGGGCATGGCACCTTTGTGCAAACTGACAAACCCATCTACAAGCCGGGGCAGCGAGGTAAGAGGCACACATACGGGGTTGGACAAAAGGCTGGGGACACAGCGGCGGGTATCCTTCAACAGGGGCTTTGTGGTTTGGTGGCAGGCCTATGGAATAATGAGCGCAAAAGAGGGGAAGGTCTGGGGGGATGCTGGGTTCCACAAGCCAAAGGGTGGTGTGTGGAGTGGCTCCTGTGTGTGTGTGTTTCTAAAACAGGAGAGAACGTTTCTTCTGGAATAAAATTTGTAAGTGTAATTGGATTGCTGGGTCCTTCCGCAAGCTGCTTGTGTGTGAAATATGCAAATACACATTTGGCTTGAGCTCCTGTCGTTGGTATTTGCTGCTTCTTACTTAGAGGGGCATTCCACTCTGAGGTTTCAGAGTCTGCAGTGGTGAAGAGAAATCGTTTGAGGGCTTCATTTTTTTCTCGGACTAGGTTTATTTAAATAATAATAGTAATAAAAAAACGATGGGGTTTTGCTGACTCAGAAGTATGTGTGAGGAAGTAGAAGGGTGGAAGGAAGAAAGATCTGAAAGAGGTAATCTCCCCGGTGACGCCTGTTTCCTTCCAGTGCACTTCCGCATCGTCACCCTGGACAGCAACTTTGTTCCAGTGAATGACAAGGTGAGAGTTTACTTGGGAAGGGAAGGGAAGGGAAGGGGCAGGACAGACTGAGAGAACAGGGGAGAGAAGAGGTTCTTTCCAAGGGTGTGAGGAGGCGAGGCCCTCTGAGGTGCAGAGTGCAGGTGGGAACTGAGATGCCAGTCTAAGACCTCCTAGCCCCTGTCTGCCTGAAAACAAGCAGATGCGTCTAGCTCTCAGGTCCAATAGCCGAGCACATCAGTGAGGTTAACGTTCCCGAGAGAGGGTTACATTCCCTGCTGTTTGAAAAAATCGTTTTTGCAAACTTCAAGACTTTCGAGGGTTTACACCACGAGGCTTTGCAGTTCAAATCTGAAGACATAATTCAGGAGTGTGTTTAACAAAAGGAAGAAATGAGTATATTCAACCCCCCACACCTTTTTTTTTTTTTTTTTTACTATGAGGCAATGTAATTTATAACTTAGACAATTCTCTTCAGGCAACATTTAAAAATACCAAATTATAAAATAGACAGTTCTCTGAAGGCAACATTTAAAAAGTGCCAAAGGTAAAAAAATGTGGTAACATTTGGTGAATACTTGAATTTTCCTTGAACAGCTCAACTGCTAGAATCATAAGCCTTATGAGGGGTATGGTCTCAATTCAGGGCTTGTGTTGTTTCTACATGCTTGTGAAATACTTTGCTCTAACACACTCCTGCAGTCTTCTTTCGCCTTCAGACACAGGCCATGCATTCAAAGGACACGTTTAATGATAATTATAGGGAGAGCATAATTTTTATGTTCTCAGAGCTTATGTTTCCTTTCCCTGTGTACAGGAGGCTATGGGCTTATGATCAGTAGCCTCCCCCACCACTGCTTTCTTTCCCAATTTAGAATTCTTTTTAGTTTCTCCTTCCCATCACCTGTATCCTTTCTTTATCAAAAGTTTGGTAGAGCCCTAGCTGGTTTGGCTCAGTGGATAGAGCGTTGGCCTGCAGACAAAAGGGTCCTAGGTTCGACTCCGGTCAAAGGCACATGCCCAGGTTGTGGGGCTCGATCCCCAGTAGGGGGCGTGCAGGAGGCAGCCAATCATTGTTTCTCTCTCACTGATGTTTCTATCTCTGACTCCCTTCCTCTCTAAAATCAATAAAAATATATTTTTAAAAAGTTGGGTAGAATATTGAATCGCTATTGTTTAACAAACTGTTGATTCCAGAGCTAAAAAGAGGACATGCTAAGGTGAAAGTGTAGCCACAGCCAAAGTTATCTCAGACTCTTCTGCCTTCAAGGTCGATCTCATTAGGCACCCCTGTTATATTATCTTTCCTGTGATCATTTCCTGAGAGGTGATGCTCTGTTTCTGATGTAAATTTAGTCATTCTTTTCCACAAAATGTAGGCGTGCACGTACAGTGCGATTGAAACTTCGTGGCCCATGTGCAGAAGTCGGTTTTCGGCCTGGGCGAGTCTATTTTGAAGAAGTGGCGTTAGAAGAAGTGGGGGGACGTTCGCCAAGGTCGACCCCTCAGGTTGAGGACTTTTCTTTATTTTATTGATTTTTTACAGAGAGGAAGGGAGAGGAATAGAGAGTTAGAAACATCAATGAGAGAGAAACATCGATCAGCTGCCTCCTACACAACCCCTATTGGGGTTGTGCCCGCAACCAAGGTACATGCCCTTGACTGGATGGAACCTGGGACCTTTCCGTCTTCAGGCTGATGCTCTATCCACTGAGCCAAACCAGTCAGGGCGAGGACGTTTTTAACAAAGGCCAGCTTAGGAGAACCCTAATTAAGTTAATAACAATGTACCTACCTATATAGTTTAAGTTTAAAAAATTTGGCTCTCAAAAGAAATTTCAATTGTACTGTTGATATTTGGCTGACCACTGTCCTCGTTGAACACTTGTTTCCTTTGAGAGGAAAGCAAACTGGCAACTGGTGTCCTCCCTCCCTCTTGACTCCCTGTGTGAGAAAAATACTTTGTTATCTGAGGAAGTGTTCTTTTTCTGGAATTTATAGGATTCCATAATAATCTCAGTGATAGTTGCCTCCTTATCGCCTATGTAGCCCTGGTTTGTGGAAGTCCTGTCCTTCTTTGACCCGGAACTAGAGCAGAGTAGGCCACCCCAAAATGTGCTGCTTTATCATGGGGGCTATTTTGAGCTGAGGGCAGTTAAAACTCTGCAGCCCTAGCCAGTTTGGGTAGAGCGTTGGCCCTTCGACTATAGGGTTCTTGGTTTGATTTCAGTCAAGGGCACGTACCTTGGTTGCAGGTTTGATCCCCGACCCTGGTCAGGGTGTGTGTGGGAGGCAACCAATTGATGTGTCTCTCTCACATCCATGTTCCTCTCTCTCTGCCTCTTCCTCTCCCTTCTACTCTTTCTATAAAAATAAATAAATAAATAAATTAATTAATTAATGGAAAAGTATCCTCAGGTGAGGATTAACAAACAAAACAAAAGACTACAGACTCAAGAAAAGGTTATTTCTCCCTTAACTGGCTGAACGAGTTTAGATGGGGAGCCTGTACCAGAGAGAGCTATTATCAGAGATGACTTTTTCTATATCTGAAAGACTTACCTGCACGCCAGGGCAAACACCTGGCTACCAAACATCTGCTTTTCTTCTCTTCCTGTGAATTGCCTTCCTCTGCGTGGAAGCCCCAGACCCTCTTCCATTCCTTAGCTCAGGGTGGCATCTCAGCCTCAACTGCCTGACTCCTTTTCAGTCTCATTGTCTTTGTGGTGCTCCTATATGGATGTAATTAAATTTGTTTTTTCACTATTAATCTGTCTTAGGTCAATTTAATTATTAGACTAGCCAAAGAGCCTAGAAGGGAAGAAGGGAAAAATTTTCCATCCCTACAATCTTTCTCTCTCATTTCTGGCTTTACTGAGGAATTGCCGTTATCCTTGATATCAAGGCTGATGTTTGTATTTAATGACACTCTGCTTTTTCACTGGTCAGCATTACATGGTACTTAGAGCAAGAATCGAAGACAAGCACCAACTAGGTTCCATTCCATCTCCCTTCCAAGTGAGATCCAAACTTTGTACCCTCTCTAACACCTCCATATCTAAAGTCAGTTTTCAATCTCATTTAGTTGTAAGTCCTTTTAAAAGTGTGTAATATTGCCCAGCTGGCATGGCCCAATGGTTGAGTGTTGACCAATGAACCAGGAGGTCACAGTTTGATTCCGTGGTCAGGGCATATACCCATGTTGCGGACTCGATCCCCAGTCTGGGGCATGCAGGAGGCAGCCAATCAATGATTCTCTCTCATCATTGATGTTTCTATCTCTCTCTTCCTCTCTGAAATCAATAACAATACATATTTTTAAAAAGTGTGTAATACTAACTGGAAAGTCCTGAGTCCAGCAAATGTATAGTCTCTAACCAGATTTTTAATTATATTCACACCCTAGATGTTGTAATTATCTATTTCCATGGCCATGAATTTGTAAAATTCTAACAATTACAGTTAAAGAATTAAAACATCTCACACAAACAAAAACAATACAGTAAAAAGATAATTCTCTCATAAGAAAATTATCTTGAGCTGTCATTTTGTTTTCAACTTTTAATTATTAGAATTTTCAAACATAACACCAAGATTCAATGTTTTTTATTTTGCTACATTTGTTTTCATATATTATTTTTTTGCTAAATAATTTAAAAGTAAGCTTCAGACATCATAACATGTTACTTGTAAATACTTTAGCATATATCTTCTAAAAAGAATGTCTTTAAAAATCATAATGTCATTACCACATCTAATAAAATTAATAATTATTATTTAGTATGCAGCCCTAAATCTTTTTTTTTTCAAGTTTTCAAACTAGGAGCCATAAAAACAAATCCATGTATTACATTTAATTATTATGTTTTAAATTTTTCTTAATATAAAATAATCTCTCTTATTTTTTTGTTATATTGACTTTTTTGCGAGAGAAAGAGATCAGGGTAGATAGCTTTTAAAATGTCCTCGCTTTGAAATATGACACTGATCTTAAGGAAGCCTACTTGTCTTACAGAATACTTGACATTCTTAATTTGTCTGATTATTTCTTCCATTGTGTAATCTAACTTGTTCCTCTGTCTTCTGGAAGTAGGTGTGAGGTCTTAATTAGATTTAAGCTAAACATTCTTGGCAAAAATACTTGGTAGGTAATGGAGTAAACCTCAAATGCGTCTCTTCAGGAAGGAAGCACATGATGTCTCTTTCCCACAATTAGTGATGATGAGTTTGATTACTGGTGAAGGCGGTGACAGCTTAATTTCCCCAATGGAAAGCTATGTCTTTTTTCCGTTTGAAATTGGCAAGCGCTTTTGGGGTGATACTCACACCTAGCACAACGACCTGTTCCCCACAAACTTAATGGTCTTAGCATCCATTTTCTTGAGGAAACTATACATAATCCTTCAATGGAACACTTTTAAACATTTTTTTTTTTAGAAATTGTTTTGCAATACTTGAAAATAAGGTTCCCGCCCAGTGGCATTCAAATAGCAGAGGAGGGGGCGGTAGATAGTTGGCTCCAAGAAGAGCTCTGTCCTAGAGCACCGAGGGATGCTGAAGTGTCTGAAGCTCCATTTCTTTAAATATTTCGGAGACCAGCAACCCCTCTGAGGAAATCCCTTCTCTCTCCTCCACTAGCCAATAAGCTTTTGCCCCATTGTTAATCTAATCAGAGCAGCACAGAGCCATCTGAAAGGAAGGAGTGGGCAATGGGGAAAGAAAGGCGCCTTTGTGAACTTGCTTTCAACAAATCTCACCTTGTTGCGTATCCTGCTTTAACCCACATTATCTGGTTTTCCTTTTCAGTATTCTATGGTGGAACTGCAGGTAAGTAGAAGTTTTTTTTGCTTTTCTGTCAGTGGTGGAGAAGGAGAAGTGAGAGTTTGGTGCTAAACTTGGAAGCCAGACAGAACTCTGAGATCTTGGCCCAGCGCCTGGGACTGCCCAGCACTGAGTGCCCACAATTCCACCTACACTGTGCCTGTTCTCTGGCCTCTGCCCGCCCCTGTCCTCTCAGCCCCAAACCTCTGTAAGGAAAGTCACCAACCTCTGCTGGGACTAACCCTCCCACTCTGGTTCCTGTAACTTCTTTGTGCCTCACCAATTCACCTGGCTCCACACTCCTCTTCGTTTTCAGTGATGAGCTCTTGTCATAGACACTCGACAGCTGACTATGACATGAATGCCTGTGAGAAGTGTTAGGAGTGCGAACTCCCCAGAGCATCCCCTCCATTTCTCTGTTAAATTACCTATCTCTCATGTATCTTACAGTCAATCCCTTCAGCGTTGTCCCTTAATAGAGACAAAGAGTAGAGTAAACGTTCTTTGTAAAGGACATCCTAAATCCCACTTTCTGAAACTGGTCATAACACCTTAGAAGACTCAGTCTGATTATTTGAAGGACCCTTTTCTTCCAAAATGGGGGCTGAACCTATCTCATGCAGTAATAAAGGGAATAATAAATAAGCCAGGTGCGGTTTGGACATGGGGAGACCATGGGGAGAATCCTGTACCTGCTTGTTGCAGTGCAAAGTGGAAGCCAGACAGACAGGTACATCAAGAGGTTTCTTTTCCATGGACACAGGATCCAAATAACAACAGGATTGCACAGTGGCTGGAAGTGGTGCCCGAGCAAGGCATTGTGCAGCTATCCTTCCAACTGGCACCAGAGGCAACGCTGGGCACCTACACAGTGGCAGTGGCTGAGGGCAAGACCTTCGGCACCTTCAGTGTGGAAGAATATGGTAGGTGGGAGGACGATGAGCTCACGGTGTTGGATGTAATCTGGTTACAAAATCGGCAATAGTAAAGTAAAAACCTGCCATCGGGAGGGGTGTTTATTCATTTTTGAATCAGTGCTAAACCAGCTAATAACTTCAGGAGTATTTCACCTTAATAAAGCCCCCTCTTGATTGATTAATTAATTTATTAGTTAGTTATTTAGTTAATCAATCAATTAATTACTGTTTTTAAACCCCACTGTTCACTACCTAGATGGTTAAGTTCTTCTCCTATTCTGTTTCCATTTTCTTTCCACTCTCTCCAGTGCTGCCTAAGTTCAAGGTGGAAGTGGTCGAGCCCAGGCAGTTATCAACCATGGAGGAATCTTTCTTAGTAAAAATTTGTTGTAGGTAAGAATACGGCTCTAGATCTGGTGGAGATTAAAGCTACATCGAGAAGTATGTTGAGGAGTGTTATGGAGAAATGGAGGTGGTGGTTAAAACTTGGGATTTTTTAAAAAATATACTTTATTGATTTTTTTACAGAGAAGGGAGAGGGATAGAGAGTTAGAAACATCGATGAGAGAGAAACATCGCTCAGCTGCCTCCTGCACACCCCCTACTGGGGATGTGCCTGCAACCAAGGTACATGACCCTGACCGGAATCGAACCTGGGACCCTTCAGTCCGCAGGCCGATGCTCTATTCACTGAGCCAAACTGGTTAGGGCAACTTGGGATTTTTTATTTAGTCTGGAGTCAGGACTTCTCCAAGAACACATTTTCTAATTGTGCTTCTGCTCTTACTTCCCACTGCTCACTCAGTCAGCATTAGGGATTTTGAGTCTACTTTGTGCTGAACGGAATGTTGAATCTCATGGTGAAATAGGAGTAAGGAAAAAGAAAGCCGCTATTCTTTCCTTTGGATGGTACTTACTGTGTAATGGCAGTACTCTACGGCTTTGAATAAAGCAGGGAAGTGAATGCCAGAGTACTTGCAGAGGTTGGAGTGTGGGAAAGAAGGAAAGTGGTGTTTTGGGGGATGAAGGTTGGCCCTCAAGTGGAATTTCCTAACTCTGACTCCACATGCTTCTCTGGTTTAGGTACACCTATGGAAAACCTATGCTAGGGGCAGTGCAAGTATCAGTGTGTCAAAAGGCACATAACTACTGGTTTGGAGAGGCAGAAAGGAAACAGCTACCTGACAAGTGCAGGAACCTCTCTGGACAGGTGAGTAAATGGTATTTAGAAAAGGCACCTTATTTACATGTCCTAAAGAGTAAATAAGCAGCAATATAGAAAAGTGCTAAAGCCCAGAGTAGAAAACATTTCACACAATTGTGATCCAAGTTCCAAAGAGCAAAGGGGTCGTTTTATCCAAAATAGATAAAGTCTTTTAGAATCTGCCTTGTAATCAAGTAATGAACTTAAACCCTTGGGAGATAAAGTTTTCCCATTCTACAGTTGGCTCTTCTCATCTTCTCATATTTTGTCGCTTCAAAGTCATTTCATGATTATATATGTGTAGGTGTATACTCTATGTTATAGGAGAGTTTTTCTATCTTTTTTTAAAAAATATATTTTATTGATTTTTTACAGAGAGGAAGGTAGAGGGATAGAGAGTTAGAAACATCAATGAGAGAGAAACATCGATCAGCTGCCTCCTACACACCCCATACTGGGGATGTGCCCACAACCAAGGTACATGCCCTTGACCGGAATCAAACCTGGGACCCTTACAGGCTGATGCTCTATCCACTGAGCCAAACCAGTTAGGGCGAGTTTTTCTATCTTAAGGATGGAGAAACTAAAGCACGTATACTCTATGTTATAGGAGAGTTTTTCTATCTTAAGGATGGAGACACTAAAGCACAAAGATAAGAAATTATTTCCTTCTATGGTACATTATGAAATGGAAGTTGGGATCAGATTATTCATCCTCTATTTCTCCCTCCCTCTCTCTAATTGACTCATTAGACGGACAAAGCAGGATGCTTCTCAGCTTCTGTGCACATGTCCACCTTCAACCTCACTGGCTATATGTACAGACACAGCATCAATATTGTGACTACTGTGGTGGAGGAAGGGACAGGTAAGTGGATACTTCTTGGTTCATTAAGAAAAAAGAAAGGAAAGGGACTGTTGCAGGGATACACCTACTCAGAGGATTCAAGACCTACCTTCATTAGTGTTTGGGAGTGACTTCTGGTTCACGAAGGGAAATACCAGGTTCCAATCTGCCATCCAGTACCCATTTCCTCCAAACATTTGGGGAGGAGGAGTTGGTTTGGATCTTTGGCTAGAAATATATTAAGCTTTATACTTCCAGGGGCACCAGCCTTTCAGAGATTTTGTATTAAACATGAAAATGAGGATTTCAGGCATTTAGGTTAATGTACATCTGGTTTCCCTCTGCAGGCGTGGAGGCCAATGGCACTCAGGAAATCTACATTTCTTCACAAATAGGATCAATGACCTTTGAAGACACCAATAATTATTATTACCCCAATTTTCCCTTCAGTGGGAAGGTATGTTGAAGCCTGTCTCTGCACAGACAAAAATAAATGCTTAACTACTGCCTCCTTTCTGTAGACATATCAAAATAAAACTACCAGCATTGTTCTAAGTACTCTATGGCTATTCACTTATTCAATCTTTACACCATTCCTATGGGATAAACACTATTATTGGTCCCATTTTACAGATAAGGAGACTGAAGCAAGAGAGGTTAAGTGATTTTTCCAAGGTTATATAACTAGTAAGTAGTAACTATGATAAAAACTAGGCAACCTGCATTCAGATATATACTCTGAACTCCTTATGTTGTGCTGCCCTAATCTCACATGAGATATATCTTGAATATTAATGTGACTTCAGTGCCCTTCCTAATGCTAAGGGCTCATATTGTAATATTCAAATATTTGAATTTTAGAGCTGTAAGGTATTTGGAGAAATCATCTAGTCTGAGCTCCTGCATCTAGGCAAGGTTAATATCAGACTTTCCTTGATAGAAAGCCATTTATAGATCCTTAAGCATTTTTTAAAGAAAGTTTAAAATTTTCTTTGTTAATGTCTTCTATCTGATACCTAAAACCTACCCCTCTCTCTAGCATATTCTTCTACATTCCTAGAACAACTGGTCAACACAATAATGTACATATTTAGGTCCATTTATTCCTTAGTCATCTTTTCTTTAGATCAAGAGCAGATCCAGATTTTCTTAGAGTCTAATGTTATATAATTTGGGAGTGGGAGAGGTTAAATCATCTGTAAAATAGGGCCAATAATAGTGTCTATCCCATACGATTCCTGTAAAGATTAAGAAAAAGAAAGCAAAAAAATATATAATAATAATAAAAAGAAAAGGAAAGCAAACTATTCTACAGAGCCTTAGGAAGAGCCTGTGTAGCTAATGAAGGGCCCTAATGCTTCATGGCAAATATACTTCTGCTCCAGGCTAAGCTGCTTCTCTTTGTTCCTCAATTCCTTGTAGATCCTAGTTTGCAAACCTTGACTACATTTAGCTTTTTCTGGACTCTTCTCTGAAATGTATTCTTAAGAGTTTCTGTTATCACGTCACTTTACCTCATACTTGAACCTACTCCAAACCTAACTCTAATGACCTTTGCCCCTCAGATAAGAGTTAGGGGCCATGATGGGTCCCTTCTCAAGAATCATGAAGTGTTTCTGATGATTTCGGGCATAAATGCAACCATCAACCACACCTTAGTTACTGACAACGAAGGCCTCGCTTCCTTCAAGCTGGATACGGTTCATTGGAATGGGACAGACATTTCTCTGCAGGTGAGCTCTGGAGTGGGCCAGCTTCCCAGCAAGGAAGGCTTCCTGAAGGAAAAACTTCAAAATGTTTCTATTTCTTTTCTTCCTCTACCACCCCATTTGTAATTCCATCACTTGCCAATTCTGCTGCCCATTTGGCAAAAACTTTTTCTGTTTGCTTTTAATATTAATTAAATAAATGACCCTTCAGATCAAAATTGCTCTTTATACTAATTCATCTTATAACTTATTCCCATATTCTAATTTGAAATCAGAATAGGGAGGTAAAAATGGTCCAGAGTTGTCTTCTTCCTCCTGTCCCCTTACTCATCCTATATAATAAAAGCCTAATATGCAAATTGTCCCCTCAACTGGGAGTTCAACTGGGAGTTCAACCAGGGGGCGGGGCCAGTGGTGGTGGCAGTGGCAGGCAGCCTGCAGAAGGGTCTCTCCAGCCGGCAGCCACTAGGGACCCTACCTGTGCACAAATTTCATGCACTGGACCTCTAGTTACTCATAAAAATGACAAAGAAGAGAACTATATATTTTGATACTTATAAGGAAGACTACTTGTATCAATTATCAACTGGCACAATGCTGCTTAACAAACAACTTTAAATTTTAGCATTATACAATAAAAAGCATGTCTTGTTTGTGCATCTGGGGTAGTAAGTTAGGCAGCACGAAGTATATTCTCATGTCAACAATGAGGTGCAAGAGTGGACATGCGAGTGCTTTTTCAAGCCTCTGCTTATCTTGCATATGCTAACATCTATTTCCAACAAGTCACCTGGAGGCCCACTGTAATATTACATAGTAAATGATGTTGATGCAAGGAGAGATGAAAAATTAAAGCCATTAATGCAATCATTTAGCTACACTACTTAAGCAAACATATGCTATTTGTCTGTGATTAATAGAACTGTTTTTTTCAGGCATCACTTGATCACTCTACTAAGAAATAATTATTTTCAATCCTATTATCCTCTATATCTCATTTTTATGTCCCTGGGATATAGTCTTTAATTTCTCTATAATCTTACTCATGCTTACCTATTCCCTCGGCATCAATCTGTAAAAGTATTTCCCATTACTTGACAATTATAATTCAGTCCTTGTTTCTATCTCCTACATAATAAAATGCTGCTGCACATAGCCCCTATTATGGATTCCTCAAATATCTTTGGCTGGACGTATACTGAAATATCTACATGCCATTCTTACACAGTGAAGATTTGAGAGAGAACTATTTGAAAATCATAACAAATGATTGTGGTTAAATATGGTTAGGGGACATGCCAAAAGATCTGCTTTTCCCTCTCTTTCTCAGGGCAGGTTCCAAAAGGAAGATTCAGTATATAATCCAGAACAGGTGCCTCGATACTATCAGGATGCCTACCTGCACCTGCAACCCTTCTACAATACAACACACAGCTTCCTCAGAATCAACCGGCTAAATGGCACCTTGCAATGTGGGCAGCCCCAGGAAGTGCTGGTGGAGTATGACATTAATCCAGCTGATGCAAACCCTGACCAGGAAATCACCTTCTCCTACTATGTGAGACTGGGAAGTGAGGGTTGGTGAAAATGTGTCAAGAAGGAAAGGGAATGGGGAGAGTGAACTGGAGAAATTGGATAGACTATCCAAGTAGAGAGAATGCAAGCAACATAGGTAATTTCAAAAAATTTAAAAGCCACACTACAAGAAATGGAAAGAACAAGCAAAACCCAATTTTTAAAATATATTTTATATGATTAGTGTAGGTGTAAAGGAAGGGGGAAGGAGGAATAAAGAGATTGTGAGCAGGATCCCAGGGAAACTGTGTGGGGAAATAAGATGAGGAATGAACAAGAAAATGTTGCTGGCCAGGGATGAAAGGGAACTGGGTACGTGGGTGGGAGGGAGGGTGAGAAGAGGATGGGACTCAGAATAAAATTCATTCTGTGTTTTATTGACCAATATTCTACAGTAGATGATACAGGGTTAAAATTAACATTGATAACCTTGTTGGAGAAATAAAAGCACAACTTGGACCCTGAAGGACATATATAAAGATAAGTAGCTTTATTGGTCATCTCGGTGATAGTGAGGATTAGATTCCTGCAAAGCTCAGTTTTGATGGTACAGAGTCTCTTCATTCTCTTATCATCCCCTCAAAGTCTCTGAGAGACTTTCTCCCTACTGAATCATCCTAGTATCTTCTATCATCTCCGTGGCTTCATTAAGCTAAAACAATCATCCTGACACAACAGAATAAGGAGGATCGGGTGGAAAATAACAAGTATTGAGTCAGGCTCTGGAACTATGAAAGGAGACTCTCCTTATAGAGAGATGCAGGGATGTTCCAGAAGTAGGATCAAGACTAATTTCCTGCCGAAACCGGTTTGGCTCAGTGGATAGAGCGTCAGCCTGCGGACTGAGAGGTCCCGGGTTCGATTCCGGTCAAGGGCATGTACCTGGGTTGCGGGCACATTCCCGGTGGTGGATGTGCAGGAGGCAGCTGATCGATGTTTCTCTCTCATCGATGTTTCTAACTCTATCTCTCTCCCTTCCTCTCTGTGAAAAATCAATACATTATATTTAAAAAAAGACTAATTTCCCATAACATTTATGTTATTGATGATTTTTTTTCTCTTTCATAGTTAATAGGGAAAGGACGTTTGGAGATGGAGGGGCAGAAACACATGAACTCCAAAAAGAAAGGTGAGTGTTCATGCTTGTTCTGTTTTGTTTGTTAATCCTCACCCAAGAATATTTTTCCATTGAATTTTTAGAGAGAGTGGGAGAGGGAGGTAAAGACAGAGACAATGTGAGAGAAACACATTGATTGGTTGCCTCCTGCACATGCTTCTACCAGGACCCAGGCTGGGGAGGAGCCTGCAACCAAGGAACATGCCCTTGACCAGAATTGAACTTGAGACCCTTTGGTCCACAGGCCAACGCTCTATCCACTGAGCCAAACTGGCTAGGGCAGCCGTGGGCAAACTACAGCCGGTGGGCTGGATCCGGCCCATTTGAAATGAAAAAAAATAAAAAAAAAAAAAAAAGACAGTACCCTTTTATGTAATGATGTTTACTTTGAATTTATATTAGTTCACACAAACACTCCATCCATACTTTTGTTCCGGCCCTCCGGTCCAGTTTAAGAACCCATTGTGGCCCTCGAGTCAAAAAGTTTGCCTACCCCTGGCTAGGGCCATGCTTCTTTTGGAAGAGAAAACAATATTTTAAACTTCCAGGAGACAGTTCTTATCCATAGAAGCAATGAGAACAGAACAGTAATAATAACCATAGAAGAATAGGAAAATGAGAAGTTACTTGCACCATAAGGCTTGCTGCTGGCCCAATGGGAAATGCAAACATATGGTTGGATGTCATGGGTAGGTGAGTACTCTCTCATCCCTGTGTATGTCTTCTTCTCTTTCAGGACTGAAAGGCTCCTTCTCTCTCTCACTGACCATCAATTCCAGGCTTGCCCCTGATGCTTCTTTGGTGGTCTATGCCATTTTCTCCAGTGGAGGTGTTATAGCTGACAAAATTCAGTTCTCAGTAGAGATGTGCTTTGACAATAAGGTAAAATGGCAGTTGAGGAGGGTGAAGAAAAAAATCTGGGAATAGAGAGAAATCTTGTGTATGCTAGGGTTGAGATAAGGCAGGGGCTGGGAGATAAGATAAGATGTCATATTGTATTTATGCCTTTAGTCTATTTCATTGAAATTATTTCTTTCCTGCTTCTTTTTAAAAAGTCATGTTGGGAATCACATATATAGCTATTCTAAATATAGCTCTTCCATATGTTTTCTTATCTTTTAAACATCTATATCCTTCTACTGTGCTGCTCACTTTTCTCAACTCTATCATAAGACACTGGTTCTCAAGGGCTAGACTTTACAAAGGGAAATCAGTATAAAAGTGAAAGAGTGGCCGAAGCCGGTTTGGCTCAGTGGATAGAGCGTCGGCCTGCGGACTGAAAGGTCCCGGGTTCGATTCCGGTCAAGGGCATGTACCTGGGTTGCAGGCACTTCCCCAGTGGGGGATGTGCAGGAGGCAGCTGATCGATGTTTCTCTCTCATCGATGTTCCTAACTCTCTATCTCTCTCCCTTCCTCTCTGTAAAAAATCAATAAAATATATTTTTTTAAAAAAAGTGAAAGAGTGGGCTGAATACCATAGTTAAAGCTGATGATCCGAGTGACATTTTTGTCTTGTCCTCTCCAGGACTACCTGATTCCCAAGTTGTATTTGTCCTTCTTCAGGTTTCCCTTGGCTTCTCACCTTCCCAGCAGCTTCCAGGATCAGATGTGGACCTACAGCTGCAGGCAGCTCCAGGGTCCCTTTGTGCCATCCGAGCTGTGGATGAGAGTGTCTTACTACTTAGGCCAGAGAGAGAGCTGAGTAACCACTCTGTGAGTAGTCGGCTAATAAGGTGGGAAGAGGGAGTTAATGGGGAAGACAATCTGGGTCCGTTAGAACAGAGGATAGATTTCAGGGAGGGGGAAAGAAAGTCTTAGGAAAATAGTGCACCACTATAAGGTAGTAGAAAAGCGGGTATGAAAATAAAGGTGGAAATAATGGGAAGAGAAGAGCATGGTTAATATGGACATAGAGATAAAGAAAGAAGATGAGCCCAGCTGGTATGGTTCAGTGGCTGAGTGTCGACCCATGAACTAGGAGGTTGCGGGTTCAATTCCTGGTCAGGGCACATGCCCAGGTTGTGAGATCAGTCAATCCCCAGTAGGAGGCATGCAGGAGGTAGCCAATGGATGTTTCTCTCTCATTGGTGATTCTATTTCTCTCTTCCTGTCTTTCTAAAATAAGTAAAAAAGAAAGGAAGAAAATGAAATAGGAGATAAGTGTGACAGACTATGAAAAAGGTGAGATAGAGGTTAAAATTTAAAAAGTAAAGGAAGAGGTTATGATGAAATAAATATAGGAAGAATTCTGGGGTAATGAAGATAAATAATATGGGGGCTGTGGCACCAAAATCCGAGAGAAGTTTCTCAACTGATTATACTGTGTCCATACTTTATTTCTTTTTCCCCTTTTATTTCAGGTCTATGGGATGTTCCCATTCTGGTATGGTTACTACCCCTATCAGGTGGATGAATATGATGAGTGTCCAGTGTCTGGCCCAACGGACCTTCCTCAGCC